AACCCCCCCCCCCCCGTAAAAATTCATGCTGTCTATGTGATGCCTTTAACCTATTCATTGTCTATCTGGTTTAACAATTCAGATAGGACTGATGCTGTGCCCATTGACTGCTCCTTCAACCACTTAGAGAAACAATTGACCAATCAGAGTTTAGATGGTGGGAATGAGGAAACTGTACACGTTGTTTTAGGTAACTTCTGTACTTTTTGCACTACATTCCCCCATGCTGCTGTGTCAACTTCAAGAAATAAGAACTTTTAAGTGGACATATTTTTGATTAGTGTGAAAAATGTTTAATTAAATGCTCCCAGCGACCTCCTCCAAAGCTGAAAACGACAGGTAAACCAAAAATGTAAAGTGAGAGATCACAAAATAACTGAAGCACCTCAAACGTCACATATTTAGGTATTCAGGGGAAGAATTTTCCTTTACATACAAGGAAAAATAAGAGAGAGAAAATGTATGGCATGCTGCAGAGGTTACGAATAGGACACACAATGTTACAAGTATGTTACTTTATGTGCGTTTCACCCTCTGATCCACTTCAAAGCCCTTCATGAATCATATAATTTATGTTTCTCTGGACTGTGCAGGCTGCTCGAGTCCTCAAAGCAGCATGTGAATCATGTGTGTTTTTCTTTGGATCTGTTTTTCTCACTCCCAGCAGATGATGAACCATTCTGGGCATTAGATCTCCTCTCTGCCCGTCTCTGTGGGGCTTCTCTCCATTGAACCCCATTAGTTTTCTCTCTGGAGCCACCTTATCCAGGTATCAGACGCTCATCCACAGCTCAACAATGAAACAAGGTTCATTAGTCCTAATTGTTTGTGTTTTGTCTCCATTTTTAAAGCCTGTCTACTTTCTTAACAAGGCCAATCACTCACAGCTCCACACATAACACGCCTGTCACTACAAACACACTTCAAAATCCTGTCTCTGTGTCCCGGCGCTCTGCTGTAACTTTTCACACCCACGCACCCTCTGCTCCCCAGATCCAGATAAAAACGCCATTGTTATCCAGCTGTGCTTTTCTCTCCTGCACTGGATTGCAGCTTTTAAGATGGAAAAGAGAGGCTGATTATTAGGAGATGAGCAAACGCTGGCTGCAGAGAGAGGAGCAACTCACCCAGGGTGGGGTGTGGAGGGGGGTCTATACTCTGAATGCTAATGCGGGGCTGGAGAAAGGGCAAACAGGCCTATTGAGATGCAGAGTTCATGTGTTTTCTTAGGGTAATATTGGGGCAATGTTGAAACAGCACGCATTATGAGAGTGAAAGGTCAATTTGATGTTAGTCAGCAGGAACAGTGAGAATAGCTGACTATCAGGAATTGTTGCATTTTCTGCCTGAGTGATTGACTGCCTATGAATATGTATTTCACCACTGTTTTCATGGCCACACAAAGATGTTGGATGGCTTGGGTACCTTTGCGAGCCCGAGGGGTCATCAAACTGAGCATATGAATTAAAATAACAATACAATTCAGGTGCTTGAGTGTGTATGGACTCCCCAAGTCCAGTCCAATTTTTACCAAGCTGGATGTTGAAATTGAAATTCCTCTGCCAGAGAGAAAAGCCTGAGACATGTCACGTCGTTCAAAGCTCATTCATGTCTAATTACCATGGCACTGGACCATTTTCTTACCTTTTGTTGGCCTATTGAGAGGAGCGCCGGGCCCACGCTCTCCCAGGCACACAGCCCCAGCATCCTCCTCCTGCTCCTCAGCAACTCCTGGCTTCCCCTGCAGCAGCCGCAGTCACACAGAATGAATGGAGCCGCCTCAGGAATGTGGACACAAAAGGAGGAATGTCATTTTGCTGAGTGCTACCCCCCAAACCAATGGACGTTTGCGCACACACACACACACAGAAGCACCCCACAAGTCCAGGCACATTTAAACGCAGGGGGTAAAAAGTCTTATTATGACTTCTGTTTAATTAAGGTATTTGAGAATGTGACTGGGTGCAACATTTGATCAAATTCTATATCCCATATTTGAGACTTTGCCAGAAGAAAGTGTCTAAATCTCACTGCGATGTGGTTGATTATGATGATTTAAAAGGCTGACAGTTACATTTTTACATTTTATTGATTTAACTGATCGGCCTTATCAGTGAAAAATAAACTTAAAACGACTTTTCCAGGAAGAAACTGCTTGCAAGGAGGGCAAAGGTCAGAGGCAGAAAGCAGCATGACAGCAGATACAACAAACTGCACCTGAGAATAGACAAACGAAAACACTGGTGCAAAAATATGAGGGAAATATGAGCGAAGGGGACAAGAGATATTCTTAGCAAGAAGAGGACGAATGAGGATGTGGAGGATTTTAAGTATCTGTTGAACAGATGACATTTTGAAAAGTATTTCCAAATGGAGGAACACCCACATTTCAGGACACATGCAGATACACACTTGAAATTATTCAACCTTGTTGTGTCAAACAGAGGGTTTTTGAGCAATTTGTGGATTCTTTCAAACCACAGCAGCAAGATGGTTTAAAAAACAACAACAAATGTATTTCTTAGTGATCATTACTGTGTTTCTGTAGGTTTTTTTTTTCAAGCCTCCAGCAATCTAAAATTTTTTTTGACAGTTTCACAAATCTCCCCACACTGTTTGTAATCTCCATCCACTTGTAAAACTCCACCATGCTTCCAGCAGACTGTTTACTGTAGTTTACAACACTGGCCGCATTATATGACAGGCAGCTGCATATTAGAAACACAACTGCCCCGTTGCTAACAGCACACCAGCCTGACCTGTGTTTGTGTAAGGAAATGGCCTGTAATTTTGACTCCATGGTTACTGTAACACTAGGCAGCTTTTAATCCGAGAATTTTAAACAAACTAAAATGTATTGGATTATAAAGGCGGAGCTGAAATAACACATTTGGGGAAAATATGTCTTTGATGTCATGTGCTTTTCTTGTTATGTAAATTGCTGTCATGAAAAATATATGGAAAATAAATAATACCAACATAATGACACTTACTTCTGTATTTCTCATCACTGACAACCTTCAATTACAAAATGTAAGTTCTTCAACATGGGGGTTTGAGGCTCCAAAGGGTCCTCAGGGTGTTTCCAAAGAGGGTCCTCAGATAAAACAAGAGAAAACACTTCATCATCACTGATTTATTTAACTTATTTTATGTTAGGACAGAGGAAAAAACATACGGGAAGTCTATTTAGTTCAAAGGATTTTTTATCAGCGCTGTTATCTGCACTCTGACAGTAAAAACAGATAAGAAACCCCCCCTCTGAAACCCAGGGTCAAAAAGGGGGTCTTCAAATGAAAGAGATTTGTGATTTTGAGAACTTATCTTAATGTTTCTTTTCCTTCTGTCATCTGGACCAAAAATAAAGTATTCGTGTTATGCCACAGTGCAAGCTCCACCCTGAGCTCCAGTCCTGATTTTCAAGACCGGTTACCATCAGTCTAGACATTATATACAGAGAGAGAGAGAGAGAGAGAGAGAGACACAGGGTTTGAAGTCCCTGCTCCATGCTCCACCCCTGGTGTTCCTGTTTTCCAGGTCTTTGTCCCCGGAACTTGCACTCACTCTTGGGTGTCCACTAGGGTTTTCTACTCGCATCTGGATCCCAGTACGACGAGCATACAGTCCAGTGTCCTGTCCTACAGAAACCACGGCCTCCTCCAATTTGGAAAAGAAAGCAAGAAAAAGAAAGGAAGAAAGAAGAAGAAGAAGAAGAAGAAAGAAAAAAAAAACACCATCCCGGCAACTTTTCTACCGTCTCTCCTCCCGTGGTTTTATACTTTTCGTCGAAGCTGTGAAGCTGAGATTCTTGCCTGCAGTTAAAAGTTTTTCACGCGTTTTTTAAACCACTTTTCTGTCGCTCTTTCGTGGGTCTTTCTCCCAAATTGAGTCTGGAACTCGACAATTATCCCACAGAGCTTCTAAACGGACGTCGTTTGGGCAGTGTTTGAGGCTGGTTTTTTTTGTGGGGGGGTTTTTAATTTTTTTTTCCTCCCTCAAAAAGTAGTTTGAGAGGTGGCCTCAGAGCTGCTGTGAATGAAGTATCTGTTGAGCTGAAGAACTCAGCGCGTCTCTCCATGAGGAAACTCAGCGTGGGAGTCGCTGAAACTCTGTCCTAACTTACACACACACATACGCACACCTGAAGCGGTTATATACACCTTTTTTGTATCTTTTTTTTGTGCTGTGTAGTAGTTTCTTTGTAGCGAAAATGAAGACGCTGTTGGTGCTGTGTGTAGTTTGCACGCTGGTTGTGTTTTCTGTTTCGGGGACTGCGGAGCAAAAGTTGAAAAACTGCAACGAAGTTCGCGTTGCTTACAGCTCCAAAGGCTTCAACGTGAACGATGTCCCCAACAAAGGAGTCAACGGTGAGTTTTCTTTATTCGTTTTTGTTCTTTTTTTAGGGCCTGTTTTTTTAAAACTCCAAATTGTGGTGCCCAAAGTGGGGGCTGGGGACCCCCCGTGTGTCCTAGAGAGGTGTCCCGGTGGTCCTTAGGGGAAAGAACTTTTTAACATAGCAACGTTAGCATAATGTGAGCCTGGGTAAGTAAAGTCTGCTCTCAGGGTTTTTTTTTTTTTGCTGTCCCATTGTTAGCTTCTCTAACAGACTGCCAGCTATTTTAAGCCATAACTCCCTTTAAAACGTTTTCCAGATGGTTTTCTTGAAGACAAAATCTTCTCAAATGTAGTGAAGTTTAGCAGTCACTGACATGAAAGAGTACAGGAGACCTCGCAACAAACAGAAAAACTGTCACCTTCTCAAATGGCCATTTGTACCTCTGTTAAAGACTTCATGGAAACATGGTTAATCCTACAGACATGGTGCTTTGAAGGGCTGCACAATATGGTACAAACATCATATTGCATATTAGTTTGACAGATATTGTGATATGATTCAAGCATAGTTTGGGAATTCGTCATTTTTTTCTTCGCAAATTCAATTTTCAGTGAAAAAACCTATTAAAATCATGATGATGTGACATTTTTGGGGCTTTATACCAAACAAACTTGAATCTGTAGAACAAGATTTGTTTGCCAGGTACTTCATTATATTGTTGTTCTGTCACGTGTTTAACTTTTACCCCAAAAATGCAGCTTTTTTTTTGCAGTGTCCATATTGCACTTGGCAATATCCCCATTATCTCTGCAGCCCTGGTGCTTTTTCATGTGTTAAAAGTTACAGTACATTGTTAAGTTTGGGGAAACATTTGGGGATGAATTCTTGAGGCAAATGTGTTGCTGGCAACACTCCACAGCTGCAGTGGATAAATATAGTCCTCATTTAGGAAATACTTGTAGGTAATTCATAACAATAAAGAGGTATAATCAACACACAAGCTGTGCTCCCAACTGAAAGAAGCCAGGCCTGTGTTTATTTCCAGGCTTCCTTAGTAGAGTCTCCTATTGCTGTGAAGTGCAGGCAGCCTGCAGTGATTTAGTAAACACTCCTGTGCTTTGTGAACAAGACTTGTGGATTTTTCCCCCCCTCTCTTTGGGCAAGTCTGATTTTGTGGTTTTAACATTTTCTCTGTGGGCACATGTTGTACTTCTACATCTGCCTCTAGTCTAGTCTGTGGGGCAGGATGTAATGCACCAATGAGTACCTCTGCAATAAATGGGATCGGCTATGTTAATAGTCAGACAGAGGTGAGAAGGCAAATCAATTTAGCTAATCATGAGTTAAACCTAAGTGATGGAAATTTACATAGGGGGGCTTTTACATTGGAGGCTTGAGGGGGAGCAAGAGAAAGGGGGTTGGGGTTTGAAATTCCACTGTGCCCTGCATACTTTAAATCCCTCCCATCTCTCATTTCCTTTTCATTTTATGGTGGTTAAAATGAATATGCACACACATATATTCAAACCCCTAAATCCAGTCCGGTTTGGTTGGCAGTTTTGCAGTGGCTCCAGCATGACGTTCTTGTTTAAAATTATAGAAGTAGGTCATCCAGGCATGGCCCGCTGTCATGTTGGGGTCTTGATTTCCCCCTTTTTTCCCTTTAAAAGTCACTTCCTGATGTGTGTTTATCTCAGGGGGCTTAATAATTAGCTTTTCTCTTTTTCTCCCCCCTATTTTCTCACCATAAACCTTTAAGGCTCCAACTGTTCAGATTTAGCGGCATGTTACCAGCATTATTTCATCTGACAAGAGTGACCAATTTGTATGCGTCCTCGTTATTGTACCGATGTCCTTTTTATGAGTTTACTTTGCATGGTAGGAGGATGTTCAGACCGTCTTTTTCCGTTGAGGCCACAACGGCTCATTAGAATTTGAGTCGGACGTAACTGCCAAAGAAGGAGAGAACTTATTTTTTCCTGCGTCTCACACAAGTCTATAGGTCCTTTTGTTTTCTGCCTGTATGTCTTTGTGATGCTAAATGTCATTGAGAGTACCCCAACATGTCCGCATTGGTTGGATTTAATTGTCTTGCATCTTTGGGTTTTGAAAGAGGGGTCTGAATGAAGGCAGTTTTATTGTGCAGGTTTGTGTGCTATACACACGTGCCTTTTTCCTTACAATAGATTCCTGGTGTATGTCTGGGCCTTAGGCAGGGCCGACCTCAATGAGCAGCTCTTTGTCATTGAAAGAGACTGAGATAATTGATCCATAGAAAGCAACAAGGTCTACTGTCATTAAAGATAGTTGGGGGGTCTCCAGAAAGCAAAAAGCAGATACAGAAGCCCTGCGCTCTTGAAATGTTTCATGTTGCTGGGGAGAAATGGCTCCAGATGTGCAGTCTGATTGAACTTCAGTCATGTTTGTCAGAGCTTCACTTTGTAACTACACTTTGTAATGGGTCAAACTCCAAACATTAATTCCCTCCTTATGATAACAGTCTGTGTTAAAATTTGACTGGATGTGAGGTTGCAGAAGGGTTAGATCATTAATTACCCACATATGTAAATCACAGTTTAAGTTTCACAGTTAATAATCAAAGAAGCAGTTCAGTGGAAAAGGTTGTTTCACTTACAACATCTGCAGAAGTTTAAACAGTCAGCATATGATTCAAAAGTTGCAGTAAAATAATTTTCTTCCACAAAAGACTGGCGGTTGTGATCAGAATATTTCTACCAAAATAATGGGCTTTTTTTACTTTAACCATAACTGTGCAGGCTTATGTTACAGAGAAGACATACTTTGAAAATTATACAGTGACCTTGCCAGTTGTCACAGAAGTAGTTTTTGAAATGTTTACCTCCTTTGATACATGAATCACAAATCATATTGGTGGAATATGAGTCTTATTGGAGACACAAGATTCTAAACTTGCCTTTTATAACCACAAACATCTTGTGTTGTTGTTGGCGGCGCGGAGATAAGGATGTTTGTTACCATTCAAATTACCAACAGGCTCAACCGAAGCCAGACTTGAGATTCAATAAAGATGTTTTAATGTAAAACTGCTATGGGAACCCTGATTGCTTCAGCATAGACAGAATTTAGAGATACAGAGGAGCAGCAGGCTCAGTTGGTAAATTCCTTGTTGATCCCATGGTATCAATCTTTTACCACTCACGTGGAAGCAGTTCAAGACCTTGTTTCCAAGTTTCTTGTCTGCTGGATGATGATTTGTTTAGGGCCTGTGGTTGAAATACCTCACTTAAATGGGGAAATAAATGATACTCGCAGTACTAATGATGACAGGTAAATAATGTCATGATCATACAGAAAGTAAATGGTGGTTTTACTGTCAGAGCCTGTCTGCTAATAGGAAGTGGTGTTTATTTTTCTTAACACTTCTATTTGATACTGTGATAAATGTTAAAAGATATCTGCTAAGAGCTGCTGCAATAGTTCTTCAAACTCGGCCTGAAAGTAGAGCAGTTAACACTGACCAGATTGGCATCTGCCATGTCAAAGGCTACTCATTGCAGGGCTGGACTCTGCGTTTTCCCCTTTTTGCAGCTCTTCAAGCAAAATCTGTTTTGGTTTACTCTGGCAGTCAGGCTTGATGTCATGCTTCAGGTATGGGACAATGGCAAAGATCAAAGAGAAGAGGGTCGTTTTCCCTCCCTTCAGCACGAGGAACATCCCCTGCTCATAATCAGTTCGGTGCATTATGACTGAAACTCAAAGCGTGCATGACGTCAGTGCGTTGGCCTCTCGGTAAGCTTGAGACATTCTGCAGTCTCACATTGTGAGGGCTTCTTCCCCGTAGCCGGTGGCTGCATGTCCTGCATCATTACGGTTTGGGAAATAACAGGTTGTGTTATTGCTATGACATTCAGAAGATAAGATAAGAGCAGGGAACTGGGACTCACACAGTCTGTGTGCGCATTTATAGCTCAAAGACCAATATTTGAGTGGCTCTGCTCTCCAGAACGATAGCCTGGCATTTTACCACCTGTAATAATTAACTAATAAACTACCAGCCAAGTGTCTTACTTGCCTCTCAAGGTCAATCCCATAAAACTCAAACAGTCCTCGTTGTTTTATGTGAAACACTTTGGCAAGTCTTATCAAGAATCTCTTCAGCGCTGCACATAGAGATGAGGTTTAATTTCCTCTAATTTCAAACATTGGTTGTAGAAAATCAGTAGTAGTATGCAGTAGTTGTTGCATTGTCAAATAGAAGACTCTCATGAATAGACCCGGAGCAGCTTGCAGAAACTCAGCTGTAAGGTTTATAATTAGTTTATTGCTTCTTTGATTATTTACCAAGATGAATCTTTTACACACTCCGATCCCTCCTGTTCTTGCAGTCTAGGAGGTAAAGAGTCAGCCCACAGTGGTTTTTTAAGATATTGCTCTTGGGAGACGAAACTCAATAAACCCATGTAGAAACACACATTTATATGACCTCCAATTCCCAAAGTTGTAACTGTGGGCTATATCTTTCAAAGGACACTTTGCTGTTAAATGTTCCTTTTGTTCTTTCTCAGTTTGTACATGAAAGAAGAACAATGTTTTTGAGCCCAAACTGGTTTTTTGCCAGACCAGAGTGATCAAACAGATTCAGGTGTGTTATTAAAGAAACTCTTAGTCCCACCCATAGGTGTGGCCACAACCAATGGTTAAATCACACAAGCAAGCCTGACACATCATAGTAATAAAGAATTATTCATAGTCCAAAAACACCACTTAAGAATAGACATTGTATGCATGGAAAATCATTTAAAACCATTACAGTTGTAGCGGATGCCTCGGTATTGAATCATTGGTAAACGGACCGGCTTGCCTAGTATTAGCTAGCGGTTTTACCAGCCTAAAATACTGTTGTACCATCAAACTGAGTAGCGTTGAAAACTGGCCTTTAAAAACTAAATCAAATAGAAAATAGTTATATGAATTGCTTTATGGCTCGCTTTGAGTCCAAATAAAAACGTCTTTCTTAGCACAACATTATTTTGTCCCAAGAGGAATAAG